AAAAATACCGGCGGACCAAACTGCGTGAACGTTTTAAACAAAAACCTTGCCACGTTTATGGCCTGATTATCTGTCAATGCTTCTGCCCAGGAAAACCGGGTGAAATGATCTCTGGCGTGAACGATGTATCTGTACTCGCCATCCGGCCGAGTTCTCAAATCAATCAAATCTAGTTGGACCCGCGACATAAACTTATCGGCAATAGTTGGCTTTAAAGATACTGGAGTTGACACAGTTCGTTGACTTGTGCAGAAGTTACATGCATTGACAAATGCGGCAACTAATTTTCTGGGAATGTAGCTGTATCGTTTCTTGAGTTCGTCAAATGTTTTTGCGTACCCGGCGTGTTGCAAGTTTTCGTGTATAGAACCGATTACGTCGTACATATTCTCTCTAACGCACACAGGTTTGTTGCTTTTCTTTAGTAATAGATGTTTCGCTTTGCCGGTATGCGTTAGAGAGAATGTCTGCTGTACCCAAAATTTAAATTTTGGACTCGCATTTGCGTTTGAACTGTTGAGAATTTCGATTGCCTGGTCTGCAACTTCTCGCGTCAGGACAGCTTTTACGCGACGATTAGGTGACATGTTATTTAAGTGAGTCTCTACCAGTTTGTCGAACTCGGTACGGGATATGAAGCTAAAGTAATTAGTTGACATGATTGTTTCGTAATATCAATCAATCTTGATGACACGGATTACGAATGATTTTATTTATACTTTGGAACAAACAATATATGACACAACCAATCCAATATTAACACAAAAGTTCTATCAAATTAAACTATCCAATACAATGTCAAAGCCCAAATTGTGCCTGAATCCCTTTTTTCTCTTGACAAAGCATGGATTGTCTTTTGCTAGTCTACGATGCCACAAATAGTTAGTAGTTGTAAACAGAACATGATTCTGATCTTTTCACATGCTCAGGAACAGTGGTGTGATGTTTTTACTATTACGCGTATATGTAAGACGCACGGGGCTTTTTTCTTTTTTTTTTTGCTAACAACATATATTGTCAATTTATTGCATAGCTATAATGTAAAGTTTTGTGTGATGTTCTCGGATTGATATACACTTAAACATATACTCTTCATTGATCGCGAACTGTATAAACATCATGAGCAAACGTATGCAATCGTATGTCGCTGCAGTAACTTAGGTTCAGCATATCAAGATTAGCATACTGAATATCTGCCATAGTGAATGCTCGTACATTTAATCGTTTACACATTGGGCAAAAAACCAGACAAAGTGAACATTTGGTCACATGAGCTAGAAGAGGCTGATGTGGCTGAGAATGAACTAATTTAACTAATAATATTTTGATTACCGGTTTCGACAGCAAGAAAAGATTGCGCCTTATGTTTTTAAAAATTACTTATGAAATTTACCAAGAAGAACGAAAAAGAATAAACCATAAACGAAAATTAAACCCACAGTTTTGTTACGGATTGTAACTTCATCGTTTGAATTAAAGCTTTCGTATTATTAGGCCGACCATTACAAAGTATGTCATTTAACCAAGGCCGAGAGCGAAGCCAATAAATACTCCAACAAAGAATGTAAGCATTTTTCGTAGTGTTATTGACAGATTTGTTTTTATAACGATATTTATTGCGTTGTGGTTGATTCTGAAGCAGCCTGTTTTTATAAATAAAATATCCGTTTGTTCACTAGAAAGCGCGAATTTCTGCGCATTGGTCACATTCTGCATAAATACAGTTACAATGTGAAAAGGTCTAGAAAGTTCCCATATACGGCATTGATTTTAAGCGCGTCAGTATATTAATAATAGATCCAAACACTTCACTTCCAGGCATGAACGCCGCTCACATGCAAATCGAGTTGGATCGAGCTAACGAGAAACTGGACAGGTTAGAGACGCTGAGGGAAGGTGCAGAGGAAGGGTACCAAGGGGAGAGAAATACGCTGGAGGGACAGTAGAGCTTCTGGATGGAGGGAAAAAGGAGTGGGGATGATGCTTTGGTCGCCCAGCCAGGTAATGACTTTGTGACTCGGGCGTTGGGGTAGAATAGTTATATTAATAGTATACACGTAGTCTGCTCATCCTAGTGTCTTTTTTGGCTGATACTGTCCTTAATGCTTGCAATACTTTCGATTTGTGTCTCGCCTCCTTTTTAATATTACAGAGGGTCGGTCTCAGGTGCTCAATGAAGATATCATTCGCCAAATTAAGGAAGTTCATGATGCAGTCATTATAAATAAACCTGAAACAGTTTCTTTATCTTTATCGTCCTTTAATATAATCAACTGGCGTGCATTTTCCCGCAAAACGGGCATTAAAATCGAATGGCTTGATAAAGAGTTACCAAATGAAGCTACAGATATTGAAGCGTGACTCTCCTGAAAACCATGAAACACAGTGCCAGAGTTACATATCATATCTGCAAAAACATCTTCACCCACTCCCACGGATCTCAATACTTGTACAGTGATGCCTGTTTGCCCTTCAATTTGTCTGGTGGTACAGACGTCATTTTGACCGAGACTGCTGCATTAAGACTCCCTGAAACTGGAATACGAGCTGTCATTGAATTGATAAGGGTACACAAAGTTGCTTAATTACAATCATTTATTTTATGCTGACATTCAACATGGGCTACTAGAAAAAATAAATTGGACCTGCTAATGTATATCAAACGGTAATGGAGATGATATTATTATCACTGACCGTATTTCTGTTATTGGCGTTCTTACTGATCTGAAAGATACCTGGGATATCTTTTGGCTTAATGAGAAAAAAGTTATGGGAATTGAATTCACACATTGGAAATCTGCAATGCAATTCATCCGTTCAATGGTCTTGGAAAACGAGTGGGCTATCGGAAAAAGAATCTTACCTTTCTTGGAGCACGTAACAGTAAAAAGGATGAAATTTAATAGTATGTCGGAAATTGAAGGTGAAGCAATACCAGATGATATTGCTCATATGGAGGATTTTTATGAAGAGATGACAGAGGAGGACATTCACAAGCACAAGATAGGAAAAGCAGTTAATATTTGTAAGCATAGTCCCTTGTTTGCATCATTTTTTCAAACATAATGTCTTGCTGATGTCCAGCACAAAGCAGTGGAAATAACATAATTATGTTATTTCCACTTAGTATAGGTTATTCCCACTCAGTAAGGTTATTCCCACTCAGGTA